TGACAGCAGTGAAGATGTGTGATGAACTGGTTCAGAATTAATGAGAAGAGTGACTGACCGTTTATGGGATGAAACTTTTCCAAAGTTATCTTCAGCTTCCCTTATGAACGGATGCTTTAAATTTTGCTCGAATTTATGACAGAATTTCCTCAATCGTTTTCCATTCGTGTCTACTCAATGAAAGTTGCAGGCAAGCTGTGCCCAGTGCAGCAGCACCACGGCGTCCAAGTGCAGGAACTGGAGCCGGTAAGAAAACCACACCATCACCGACGAAGCCAACTGCACCGTCGAATGGCTCTGCGGCCCAGAAATCGCCCGACAGCGACTCGAAACCGGCACCGATTCGTAAGCCGACACCCACTGGTACAGCAGCAAAACCGAAAGATGAGCCGAAGAAAGCGAAACCTGCGGCGGCTGCAGCAGCAGCAGAAGCAGTAACAACTCCACCGGATTCGACAACCTCGGCGACTCCAGCTGTTCCCATTCAACCGGACAGCACCGAAACGGTTCCGACTCCAGAGCCTCAGGTAGAATCTCAGCACGAACCTGATGCACAGCAGCAGCCGGGCGCAGAAGCCGAAAAGCAACAGACTCAAGAGGATGAGCATAAAGTCGACGACAACATGAATGCAGTAGCGCCTCAACTTCCAGAAGAGCCTGAGGTAAAACCCCCCGAGCACGTGGATATGGACGCAGAAGCACAACCAAAACATCAAGAGGATGGTGTGCTCGACGATAACGCGAATATAAACGATCAATTCGTCGAAGAACCTGAAGTGAAACTTGAGCGTGTGTTGCCCACTGAAGCTGAATCAGATGCTGCCCACGATACGCAACCACCGTTGTTATCCGAGCATGAACCGGAGATGCCACTCAAAGATGACCAAGGAGACGCTGATTTACGATCCAGTCATGAATCTGAGCCACCAGCAAAACCCGAACATGATGAGATGCTAGCAGAGTCGGCATTACCAGAATTTGAGAAACCAATCGAACATCATCCTGAACCAACAGCACCGCAA